TTGTCCGTGTGTCTGTTTTGCTGCCAATACCATGCCATTTTGATTACTGTCGCTTTGTAGTATAATTTGAAGTCAGGCAGAGTAATACCTCTAGCCTCGTTCTTTTTTTTCAGAATGGCTTTGGCAATTTGGGGTCTTTTGTGCTTCCATACAAATCTGATGATTTTTTGTTCTATTTCTTTAAAAAATGCCAATGAGTTTTTGATGGAGATTGCATTAAATCTATAATGCTTTAGGTAATAAGGTCATTTTAACTATGTTGATTCTTCCAATCCAAGAACACAGAATATCTTTCCATTTCTTTGTTTCTTCTTCGATTTCTTTTAATAGGATCTTGTAGTTTTCATTATATAGGTCCTTCACATGTTTCGTTAGATTTATTGCTAGGTATTTTATTCCTTTTGTTGCAATTGCAAAAGGAATTGTATTTTCCACTTCTTTTTCTGACAACTCGTTATTAGCTTATAAGAATGCTATGGATTTTTTAAAGTTGATTGGTATCCAGTGAATTTACTATATTTGCTTATTGTTTCTAGTAGTATTTTTGTAGAGTCTTTAGGGTTTTCTGTATAGAGAATCATGTCATCCGCAAATAGTGACAGTTTGACTTCTTCATTTCCTATTTGGATGCCTTTTATATCTTTCTCTTGCCTGATTGCACTTGCTAGGACTTCCAGTGATATATTGAATAAGAGTGGTAATAGTGGACAGCCTTCCCTTGTTCCTGATCTTAGAGGGAAGGTTTTTAGTTTTTCACCATTAAGTATGATGTTGGCTGAGGGCTTGTCATATATGGCCTTTATTATGTTAAGGTACTTTCCTTCTATACTGACTCTGTTAAGTGTTTTGATTGTAAATGAGTGCTGTATCTTGTCGAAGGCTTTTTCTGCATCTATTGATATGATCATATAATTCTTCTTTTTTAATTTGTTTATTTGGCATATCACATTAATCAATTTGTGTATGTTGAACCATCCCTATGCCCCTGGGATGAAGCCCGCTTGATCGTGGTGTATAATCTTTTTAATATGTTGCTGTATTCAGTTCCCTAGTATCTTATTTGGAATTTTGCATCTGTTTATGAGAGTATTGGTTTGTAGTTTTTTTTGTTTGTTTGTTTGTTTTTTTAATGTTATCTTTACCAGGTTTTGGTATCAAGGTAATATTGGCCTCATAAAATGAGTTGGGAAGTATTGCCTCCTCTTTGATTTTTTGGAAGAGTTTGAGGAGAATAGGTATTAAATCTTTAAATGTTTGGTAGAATTCACTGGTGAAGCCATCTGGTCCTGGACTTTTACTTTCCGGTAGATTTTTGATGATTGTTTCTATCTTATTTTTTTTGTTT